GAACATTTTTTGCTCAGCCCAGACTACGTCGCACCTTACCTCACCCTGACGAGTTGCTTTTGCCTGACTCCTTTAGATGCTACATATCACCTGAGCTTTTATTAAAGGCTCTGTTGTACACGTGGGCGTGTATCCGTGTAATCACTTGGTGGCGCACTTCAGGTTTCGATATCGCGTGTAGGTTGGGGCGGACGATGATTGTTTTGATGTCTATCGTAGTACCATATTTTCTGTCTATGGATGACTATCGGTTTTTATCGCAAACTTTTGAAACCACTGCGGGAGAAAATCTACATCAAATCCACATGTTTTTATCAGAATTACTGCAAGTTGAGATATTATATTTTTAAACCGTTTCTTGTAGGTATTTGTTAGAAGAGTCCAGCTCATTGGAATTTATGTTGCTTCGTTTATTTTTATTAATTGCCCGAGTTAATGGTACTGAAAAAACCTTGAACATTCGCGGCAAATGAAGTATACTTTAATTCTATTCTGGATTAATGTAGTAAAAACTTGATTAAATTCAATGGAACGAGCCTAAAAAGTTTCAAGGAGCCAATGTAATTCAGTCGTTTTGCCCTTTCTTCAAACATTGCTAAGTTAGCCGAGAGTTTTGTTTTTAAAAGGCACTTTATAGCCCCACCTAGCTTATTGACTGCATTTTGATTACACAAGTATATTTCAGTTTCCTTTTGTGAAGCATTCAAATAAATTCATACTTTTTCTTGTCCTTCAAAATGGAAGGTAAACATAGAAAACATGATTTAAACACGAGTCGCATACATAAATGAGCCAAACAGAAAATTTATGAACATATTTTTTTACGGACAAAAAATATCCATCCATCTTCACATAAGTTTTTAAAAGTATTAACACTGTAAGATATGATTATATTTATAATTATATGTAATTATTCACACCCTTACGTTCGCCACGAGACCTCATAAATGATAATTGAAACTCAATTCATGTCTGCGCTATCGTCATTCACCGAGCTCGTCTCCCGCTGTTATTTCTTTATGAATCAGGAAGGGAACACTCCGCATCTGACTAGCTTCTATGTAGTAATTTGCTTAGCATTTTAATTCGATGTGTTGAATTCGACAGCGCTATGCTTGACAATTAACTTTGACCTATTGTGGTCAACTCTTCTTATGGTAAAGATATGATTTGTTCGCCATGACTGGAGTAAGGAGTCGATAAGGGGAAACAGTATCACAAGGGGATAAGGAGTCGATAAGGGGAAACATAGAAAATATCACAACGATCAAGAAGCACTGACAATTTTTTTAATGAATTACTATTGCTGAGCTAATATACTATCGTTGTTAAATCTGCGATGCAAGCGACTTTGATGAAAGACTTTCTCCGCATATTACGGTGCCTCATGAGAAATATTAACTTACAGTACCGGGAACATTTCTACCATTACGACGAGTTAATAACGACGAGCCTTGGCTCTCGACATATCACAATTCATTATTTTTACAGTGTACTACAACATTTTTAGATAAACTTTTACATAACATCCGAAGTTCACGCGTGTAAACTTCTTGCGAGTGAAGTATTTGGCGTCGATACTTAAACGTGGACTTGTGTTTTATTCATAAATCAACTTCACCGTGTTCCGTGAATTCGCTTAAACTTCATCGATTTTTGTAGTCCTATCCTATCCATAAGCTAATTCTTGTAGTCTTGTAATGCCGCCTCGGATTTTATTTAATGCCCTTGAGTCACTGGAAATAATTCTAGTTCATTAAAATTTATTGGCATGGTTTCGCTGAATATAGAGTAGGAGAGTTTGCTTGTCGATTATTCTATCATTGATATTTCAATATTAACTGAAAATATTTAAACCCTGTTTATTTCATGCTGACTGCAATAAGCGCATCGCGTACAAGATGCAACCTTCCAAGAAACTAAAATAATTTATACAAGTGTTTCATTTTGCATAGGTCCAAGTGAATTACACCTGCATTATGAACACGTTTTAGTGGAACTTCTGTTACTCATGATAGAACGTCCCTTTATTTATTGAACGTGTTCTTGTGCAATGCTATAAGCGCACTCTACTGCAAGAGAGCATTATCAGACTTCGCTCAGATGACACGCTTACTTATGTTGTTGCAATCGAGACAACATCGCTCGTAAAATGTCTTAGCAATGTTCGCTGAAAGAGTTTTTGTGTGAGATTCAGTGGTCGATTTGGGTGGAGTTCCCTGGCTATGCCGACGATCTGACGTAAACTTGTGTAGAGTGCGCCGCCCAGTTGCAGGAGTGCTGCTGGTCTGCATAATTGTTTAGTTAAACGTTACAATGAGATTAAATACACACTTTAAAATGGTTTATATTTGCGTTGCACTGACTAAAACTACATGATGTAGTGTGATTCTCATGCTTTTGTTTGTTTCGCGTATTTAAATGGTGTTGTCCAGTGATCTAATAATAGTTCGTAGTTTTAACCAGGAACCATCCATATTGCGAAGCCTTCAATATTTTCTATTCGAGTTCACTTGGATTCAATTTAAATTTCATTGAAATTCCCTACTTGGCTGGATCTATCGTGTATGGTGCCCTATCTATCAGACTACGGTGCCCTGAATTTTTTTTATGGTTGATTCAATTCTCATGCCTTTTCTGGTTGACAGTTTTGTACAGAATCAATGAGTGTTTTCTTGCCTGAGAAATTATTCTATCTTACTTCATCGAATAATTTCTCTACTAAGTGTCGTGGCGCTTTTTTTTATTGAAATGAAGCATTTACTTTCACTCGTTGGTCGCCTCATCTATATATATATTCTATACTGTACTATAACATGCGTGGTTTCTTCCTGCATTCATGGTCACAAGTGTAGCGGTATAAATAATTTATATCTCTTGCTTTCTTCCGTTAATTAACGACAATTCTAGTTATTATTTAGTGCGCACCTGTTGCGCTATTTCAAGCCTAATTGTCCGAGTGTTTAGTTAGTCTGGACTCTAATAATAAATCATCGTTAAGCACGCCCGTAGGAACGAGTTGAATAGCTTGAGTGTCACCTGTTGTGTAGGTGACATAGTTACGACGGAGCGTAATCATATGTCACGCTATGTTTTCGAAACTTTATCATTTTTGTTTAAAATTATATTTCCAATCACTCGTGTCATCACGTACAGCATTAAGCAAGAGGAATAATTTCCTTCGTCCGGTTAGAGCTTATCACTAACAAAACACCGTGATTTGAAACCTGGATAACATTTGGAATTATTTTTTAACCACAAAATCGTTATTTTCACGGTTATTCATAGAGAAGTTCTTTGGATCATTTGACGAACTTTTCGTTGAATTAATAATTAACATATAATCTTTATAAAGTATTTGGGAAAAAATCAAGAATTCATTGCATTTGGCTTATAGCTTCTCTCGGGATTTCAGAGCTTCAATTAATGAAATTGGAACAAATTTTCCTCACGATAAAAACCGAAGAAATTTAGTGATTTATTGCAAGTCGTGCTCTGAATTTTTTTTTTATTAAAATCCACAAATATGCACATATTTCGCTATTTCCATCACTTAAGTTCCGATAGCCATACAACTCATGTTGTGTTGTACCTTTGAACAGTAAGCGTATGCATTTTGCATATACGCTAATTCCTGCAGCCCTATCTTACGATGGCAATGCTGAGGAGCTACATACGCACCTTTGAAATAACTAGTCTGGCACCGCAAATGGCAGCAGTAGGCGCTCCAAATTAGGCTGAAGTGATAGCTTAAACGCGTTAACTCGAACTACCTTATGTTCATGGGCTGTAATCTCGCGCTCGTCCTTGATTCAATGTTAACGTCAGCGCTCACACTATTGGCACATGATGTATGCTTTATTGATATTGAGCGTGTGTGCCGGTTAATATTGCGATAAATAATTTATTTATTCTGAAGCATTCTTTCTTGTGATAACATATTAGCTAGCATCATTTTTCTGTAGTCATTTAACGCATATTTACTAATTACGGGCCCAGACTGGCCCAGTGATTACAGTTCAGAGGATTGGAGCAGAGAGGCGCGGGTTCGATTTTGGCTCAGTACGCCAGTTTCTGGTCAGAATCGGCGAAGAGACCAGGTGGTTAGCAATGCAAAATTGAAGCAGTGAGTTGCGTGTTCGAGACCGCAACAAGCTGTGAATGTTCTGCGATGTTAAGAATCGATGACTGGGCTACGGCCTAACAAACGCTGAAATCGCTATTATTATCCATCTTATTTAATTCCAGACGAATTGACTTTGTTCGCTTGTTCCTGTCGATGACACACACACCAGCTTGCATTTGCCGCAAACTTGATTTTTTATATTAATCGCTTCTCCTTATGATTGACTTCTACTGGTTTACTTAAGAAAAATTCCGTTTACATGCTCTAGTTCAAGTGCACGTTCTGCTTACGTATGCATGTGTCTGAAGACATTTTACATGCATCTGCTGCTTCAGATCTATCGGTATTAGCGTCTCTGATCTATCAACATGATGGTGTGCTCGATGTAACTTTCTTTAAACAAACCTAGACTGGCTCAGCCATTAGCTTGTTGCTGCGTTTACGGCAATCTATGCGGCTGGCCGATGCAGTCTAATAAAAAAAACTTGATGAAATACGCCCGAGTCGCTCCAGACGGGAGGCACCTTTTATATTGTATAAACATGAAAGAGATGTCTCGCCTGACACGCTCAGCCTTTGATCCCATTTTCATATTTTGTGGGTGTGCGATAATAGTTTGTAATTTTCTTGTTTACTTGATATGTGTTTCATCTAGTAAATCAGAAGTAAGAAAGTTCTTGATTATTTCAATTATGTCTATGTATAGTTCATCGTATAATAATTAACTTTTATTTTAATTCACTTCACGTTTTGCACATCAGGCTATCTAATTAACAAATTTGTTCCCTTTCTTAATACTTTTTGCGTGAATATTTCTGTATTCTGTATACATCATTTTCAACCTACAAATGTAAATTTTTGTTTTTATTTACAGCACCACGATCCTCGCAGCCGACAGCAAGAGGGGGGCATCACGGTGGGCAGACCAGAGGGCGAGTGTCCGCCTCCCTCACGTTATATTTCCGAGGCACAATGCAGAGTCGCGCGCTGCGTCGCACACTCAGAATGTTATCCTTACAGCATGTGCTGCTACAACGGCTGTGTCTTTACCTGCGCCCTGCCCATACAGCCGGCGCCTGGTCAGTCTAGTGTTCTTATAGCCTTGCATTTGCGAGACGCCCACAGAGACTTGTTTTACTGCGTGTAATGATGTATTTGCACTTTAACTTGCACAATTTTGAAACGATTATTATCAACATTCCGTTAACTGAGATCCTATCTGCTTAGCCAAAATTGTTCCACACCACCTCAACTAAACTGCATTAGGATGTTGACTTTAATTTGTAACTTTTTTAGACTCGTCGATTTTGTCTCTTGCTAGCTCTGTCTCCGACACATTTGATTTATCTCTCGCCTCGATTTGATTTGACCAGTTTAGGAGTTCGTGCATATTTTGATCGTGTGTAAATTAAAATATTTTCCGTTTTAACCGGCTCTGATTCGTCTTGATATGCAGCAATCATTCACTTGATGTAAAGAAATTTTATATTTGATGCACTTTGAGCAGCATTGGACTGGGTGATGGACACGGACCAGCGTCGTCCAGTCTTGGAGGACAGCGCTGAGTGGGAGCACGATTACCTTCAGCGCCGACGACGTGGGTGCCCATATAATCTTTAGCATTGTTAACGTTATCAAAATTATGCTGACTTTTAAAAATGACCTACACATCATCTTCGTCTATCGAGTTATCATGCGCGGCATGTACCTTCTATTGATGTCTTCTAACGATGCTGTTCTTACCCTAGATATCTGCAGTAGGTACTGGTTTATATACGCAAATGGTTTATATGCGTAACTCGTTTATATACGTATTAACTGGTTTATATACGTAACTGGTTTATATACACAATAATGTTATACATAATTAAGCTAAATGACTATTATTTAAAAAATGAAGTTAATACAACTATAACAGAATTAATATGTGGCACGAACCCGTCACAGCGCTGCCTCGACGCGTGGAGCCGGCGACTCTGTCGTATGGGACGGCAGGCGAAGAGACGGTCGACCTGCCAGGAGGTTGCGTACTGCCGGCCACCAAGTACGCTGAGCTCAAGCAGTTCATGACTGCGGACAGCATACAGGACTGGTGAGACCTAACCATTTATGAATGAAGTAGCTTTGTGACTGGAACTTATTTCGTGCTTCATATTCCAAATGCCTGTTTTACTCCTACTACTAGAGTTCGATTACTCGCCTTTTACTAGAGTTCGATTACTCGCCAAAAAATTTTGTGCAGTCTTCCCCGCATGGGAGGTTTTTTCTGTTTTCTTTGCCTTTTTGCCTTGTCGGAATGAGGTAATAAAGTTAAGCAAATGCAATTTTTTACGTGGACTAAATAGACGAAAGATACATACAGGGCCGAAAAGAATGCGACACTAATTTTCAATTAGAAAAAAATACTGTAGTTGTGCATTTCGCTTCTACCCGTAAAATATTTGAAAATTTGAATAAGAGATTTTTATTTTCAATAATAATATCAAAATAAAAATTTTCAGTGGAAATTCAACGCTAAATGGCAGATGCTTAATTAGCACCTCATCGTATATTTTGTGTTAGTACCTCTTTCGATCGATGGCTTCAATTTCATACCTCAACTTCGTTTTGCGCGCAAAAAATTTGATATTTTTATAAAGGATATTAAGCTATTATTATTTCATGAAATTAATTATGAATGTAGATTAATGTCTTGATTGATATGATTCAAATGATGCTATATATTGAAAACTGTAAATTTATTCGTGTACATTTTACACTATCACATTTACAGTATCATATTTAATTGCATAACTGGGTCGATTTCCGAGCATGAGATTTCCTATTCAAATGTCAAAGCTAGAATTTTTGTGCATCGCCCGTAATAGTATAGTTAAGTTATTTGCTACTATCATTTTCTTCGGCGTTAGATACATCTATTTATTTACTGCGGGATAACTGGTTGCAGCAGTGAGTTGCAGATTCGAGACCCATTTTGAAATTTCTACGATTTCTAAAATCGGCGACAGGCTAAACATGGCCTAATCTTCAACGCTGACACCATTATATTATATTCATTATGTCATTATTACATTTCACAGCTTGTGTCGTGATGGTGAAGTCGTCTGTATGGTGAAGTCAACACCTCCAGCTGATGCAACTCGAACGAGGTCAAAGTTATTAGTGTAGCTTGTTAATGGCGTTATACGAGGCTCTAGTTTACTTACAAGTAGAATCTCGCATATTTAAATTTTATCAGATTAACTATGAATTTGGAGTGTATAAATCTTGTGAGAATAGAAACGTTTGGCTTTCAAAATATTATGTCACCCCTAATCTTCCAATCGGTCCCGTCAATTGATGAAAGCAGGTCAAATTTTATTTAGATTGTTTGGTGGAATCATTTCGCTTCGTGGCTAGATGCTTGTATTCCCACGTGCAATTGGTCTTTCAATCTCGCATTGCATTTTTATTTTAATTTAACAACTTAACTGAATCTGCTCATGAATTGATGTTCTAATTGTATTTGCAAATCATATCAAGAATATTATCGCTAGTTCCAATTTCCTTAGGATTCAATTCGTCGTCCGTTTGATAGAAGCAGCATTCTTATTAGGACTCCCTTCGTAATATGTGTGTATATACATTTCGCGATTTTCTTCACATTTTTCTCTTTAAGTCTATCAATTTCCTTTTACATCTCCTAACTTGTTTCATATGTTTGTGCGTGTGTAAGTAATTAGTGGCTGAACCCGACCCGCATTGTTAATTTTCATTAACGTTCTTTGAAAACTCTTCCAGTTCGTTCTGAGGCTTCTTGAATGTACCCATCAATCATGAGTGCAGTCATTTGGTCTTTCTTATCGCTGCGAAATGTAGAAGCAACATCACGTTTAATTTGGTTTTGCATCAATTTGCGAGTTGTGTAATACAGCCTGATTTAGCGCCAATCAAGTGGGGAAACCCAATTTGAGACACAATATTCAGTATTGTTTAGAATTCGCTCGAAACCACTGCCAGTGTATTATAGATTTTAATAAATTGTTTATTTATGCCCGTTACTACATTATTCCTGAAATCGGATTAATTGAACAAGTTTCACGTACCCGCCTAACGCACCGTTATTAATCAGTTATTAATATCATTTACTACTCTTCTCAACAAAGCGCGATTTATCGGCACGCATTTGGTTTGCATTAAAAGTAACCTAATGCTGATGGTAACAAGACAAAAATTCAATGCGACCACAACAAGTGACTTGGGTGGCGGTCTCATAGACACGAGATCCTGAAGTGTTCTGTTGTGCGACAGGCTTGAGCAGTTTTAGCTCGACGTCCTCACTTCTTGCCGGGAAATTTGGACGGGATGACAAGAACAATGAAGTAAGGTATAGAGCGTCTCACGTGACAAACAACGCAGACAACCAATTAGTTAGCAGAAGCTGCGACCGATTGCTCAGATCATCCAAAGGAACGTGAGCAGCAAGTACGTCTAACTAAATTCTAACAAGGAAAGAGGGAAACGTCGAGTGTAAAATATTTTTATGTAAAACTTTCAATAATAAAAATTGTCGCCATCCTCCCAGGATCTCGAGTACAGCGAAGTTAGTAACCGAGTTACGTAAGACGAATAATATACGAGAATTGGATGAAAAAAAACGAAGATAGCAGGCTTGAATTAGGACTTATTTCGCATAGCTGCCAATAATAAAAGCTTCCCAAAGTGAAGAATAACATTAGTTTACTCGTTTGAGTTTGGTATTAAATAGAAAGCTGCATCACAGGTCACGTTTTCTAGAAGCCAAGTTTCGTCTAGTATAAGGAATAATGCCAGGCATGAGTTCGTAAGTAAACTTGGGCGACAATCGAGTGGTTTAATTTAATACATCGGCAAATGTAGTATGTGGCGTTTCAGTCTCCTGCTGAGAATGCAAAAGTAGGCTTTAATTTTGCAGAAATACTCAATGCCGTAATTTTAGATAACTGCCCAATTGCCGTCAATCAATTTTTTAATGCCTGATTTAGCAGTTATATTAAAATGACTTTAAATTAGGACAGGATAACAAAATAAACCCCGGGTATAGGAGTAACTTGAAAAAGTTAAGAGAAAGGGAGGAGGCGGACAGTCACCATCAGAACTTGGAGTGCCCTAAAATCGTTTGTACAGTTCAGTAGTAACTATTCTCATCAAATCACATTATTGCTATACAATACAATATTTATTCTACTCAAGTTCTTGTACAAGATATCTACAGGAGGTACAAACAAGAGCTGGCGACATTAGTTTTCATCTCTAAACATTTCAAACGAGCAAATCGTCGAGCTGTCATGCAAGATGGGCAGGAGATACACAAGTATTGGACTTTCAGCGTCACGTATTGACAAGACACTAAGTTAAACCGGCCAAAATCATAACCATTATTAAATACATAGCTTAAATTTGATCGCAAGTACTGAAAATCTTGAAAATTGAACTCCTTAGAGGAATCCTTTTAAATGAATGGGTAACTTCACCTCCAATCACAACAGCGATTTTTTTCGCTCAAGTTCCGAGGTCGCGAGAGACAACTGCCAGTAACGAAGGCTTACAATAAGAAAACTTTATACAGGACCCAAAACTAGCTGTACACAGTAAATTCGAGATAGTTCATTCACTTACCACAAATACTCACTATTCCGTACAACCTAATTTCAATTTTAAAATCAATTCTGTACAACTACGCGGAAAAGTGGGAGCGTTGATGGCACTCAGTCAAGATCACACAAAATATTGAGAATTGACGAATTTGGCGCGTATTCTTCGCCAACACCAAATTAAGGTAACATCAAATGATGTTTTTGATAGTCCATTAACTAATCATGATTGCCAAGCACCAGGTCACCGCTCCTACGAGAGGTTACATTTGAGCATCAAGGTTCATGAAAGCTGCCAATCGAAGAAACAAACGTATAATAATGAATTTAATTTTTAGTTAAATAATCGCCAATAGAGAGCCAAACGCAAGCACTGAAATTGGGTTGACATAATGCCACGACAGTTACTGCATGCATGCTTCGTGAGCGACTCCTTGAAGCTCTGGCAAACTTAACAACTTTCACAATACTGCTTCCAGCGAAGCCGAAAACGAGGTCTTATGAACGAATTTCACGGCTGTCGCACCGCTAGAGAATCCAAAAGGAAATACTAAACCAACACGACACACGTTAGCTACACTTCTTGGTCATGACAGATAGAAAACTTTCTTGAAACAAACAAACCGTTACAGTAAACAATGAAGTATACTACATTCGATTCCCCGATATGAGAGTGATCAACGCCGCCTGTTACACTTAATATTTTTTTGTAAAACATATTCGTCAGGAAGTTAAATGAAATTAGTTGTTTTCACGGCTTCAAAATCATCACTACAATCAATGCACACTCAAGCACAGTAAATGATTCAAGGTATATATTTATTATAAATTTAAATGGCGAATGATGGTCGCTAATAATTATTTCAAGATGATTTCAAAGGGTCAAGATCAAATATCGTACGAAGAATTGTCAAATTTTACACACACGTTAGCGAAAATTAAATTAAATCATTATTCATCAAAAATATAAATCAGTTCAATCAAGACAAAACAAGTGGAATTATCTGCCATTTAACGAGAAAGTTATGAACCAGTATGTAAGTCAAGTAGTATCATGTTCATACGCCACGTTTGATCCACAGACAATTATGTTGCCTAATGCACAAAAGCAAATAGCGATGAGACACGTGAAGAAGTTATCCAAGGAGCACTCGGTTTCTAGAAATCTTAATCTAATCCTTATTTTTTACACATGGCGTGTGGCCTCTTGGAACAAATGAGCATAGCAGAAGCTTACAATGTAACAACAATGATGATGCAAGCACTAGTAAATAATAACAACAAATAACGAGAGAGAAGTGGCCACGGGAGTATTTAGCTCTAGAGTTTGTACCGTCTGATCACCACTCAGAGCACATCTCTAGTACAGAGTTCGTTTTCAATTTGCAATTAGTGTCATAAACTGCACCAACCATGGATTGCATAGTCAATATCCACGTTTTGTAAGGGTATACCCTCATTTTTTCAACATAGCGACACAGAGTCAGAGCACTGATTAACATGCGACAAAATATTTTGACGATATATCGTTCAGATATTTTTGACATAGAACTTCACAAAACACGGCACTGGTTCACAATTATCGTCGTCTCAAACAACAATTATTGCTGTGTTTGCACATTTCTCAATTCAGTTGCATAGGTTAAGACGAGTAGTAGTCAGCTTCAACAGTCGAAAGCACATTTGTCGTCGATGGCTGCCAGTAAGGAGGTTGAAGAAGGTGAACTCGGCGCATAAACTCAACAACCACCGCCCTCAATAACATTAAATAAATAGTACCACTGAAATTCTTGCATCTGACCCGTACATGATAGGAAGGATAGAAACTGAGGTTAAGCATGGCACGGGACTCGAAACCTTCGTCACAAAAATAAAGCACTCGCTGTAAATTCGAGCGCTTAGAACTGGGAAGGGTGAGGAAGAGTGTTGGGGCAAAACGTTGTGGAGATGCGGACTGAGAAGGAGGGCGGAGTTTCATAAGAGTCCTATAGACTAATCATTACTGCAGTGTTCCCCAAGTAATGAAAGCAAACATATCACAGCGAGTAACTTGACAAGGGGTGCCAGAGAGTGAAGGGAAGTGCATTCATTGAGAAAGCTCTTAAACTGCGTCGTAAAATAAATGAGACTTAGCGGAGAGAATCACGTGACATTAATTATCAAATGAGTGGTACACCATTCGTGTCGAACAATGTGGCTACAGCCAAACTAAAGCAGAATCATTATAAGAATCACAATTATAGCAATGATAATATTGAATCAATCACTCACATATTAAATAGTTCCCTGGATACAACTGCATCCACGCCACAAAAATGTCAAGGGAAAAACTGTACAAGGCTACCGATATCAAACAACAAAACAAGCAACTGAGATCCGGACGATTATTTTCACTGCAAACTGAGGTCAACAATCTGGCAACGTAAGAAGTTATCTGCAGTAAGGCATGAACGACTAAACACAGAAAGCTAAAGTGTTCATTTGGGTGCATAAGGAAAACCCCCTTGAGGCATCATGCCAGGCGGGCCCATGCCAGGACCGGGCCCTGCCATCATGGACGGTGGTATAGAGCCCATGTGTGGCCCCTGGCCCATGTGTGATACCATGTGAGGATGTCTTGTGTTGGTGGCGTAAAGTTGTTGCTGGAAGTTGTGGAACTGCGCGGCATATGCAGGGTCGGCAGTGGTGGGAGCCATGAAGCCACCGTTGCTGTTCACGCCATTAGCTCCCCCGCGCCCCGAGCCCGATTGACCCATGGACGGAGGAAGAGGCTGAGCAGCGTCGACACTGCCGCCCAGACCCGGGGAGCCTTTGGTCCCGTAGCCCCCCATCATCTGACATCCGGGACCGTTGGGACCCATGGGACCACCCATTCCTGGGCCACCCATACCGTACATGTCCCCACCCATGCCAGGCATCATACCAGGACTGTGGCCTCTCATCATAGGACCACCTGGACATCTTGGGCCCATCATTTGTCCACCTGGACCTATGGGGCCACCCATCATTTGGTTCATTGACATTGGGCCGTTAGGTCCCATCATAGGACCTCCAGGTTGCATGGGGCCATTGGGCCCCATCATGTGGCCCCCAGGTCCTCCCATGTGCCCTGGCATACCACCATGAGGGCCCATGCCACCCATAGGTCCACCAGGACCCATGCCCATGTTACCCCCATGCATATGAGGCCCTGACATAGAGAAGTGAGGATTAGGGCCCATACTGCTCACCATATGGCCGGCCATTGAGGATGGTATGGCGCCCATGCCTCCATTTGGCCCCGTGGAACAAACCATGGATCCCATGGGCCCGTTGGGTATAGGCATAGACGTAGTGGTGTTGGTTAAACACATTGATGAAGGGCTAGAAGGTCGAGGCATATATTCGCCCATGGAGGGCCTGGGCCCGCTATTCGGTCTCGGTGGCATGTATTGCATAGCATTTGGACCTCCGGGTTTAACTTGCACATTTACAGGATTAAAGTTCGGCCCAGCACACGTGATGGGCGCTCCAGGTCTGGGGCCCATCAGGCGAGGATTTGTGCCCATCATGGCCATGGTGCCAGGTGAGGCTCGATGAGCACCAGGAGACGCCATCATTGTTGGAGACGAGGACACAGGAGGCATTAACATCGGTCCCGGATCCATGCCGGGACCTGTCGGTACAACAGGCGGTTCCGGTGGCCCCGTGGATGTGAGTTGTTGGCTCATCTGAGCCATGGATGAGATTGGATCAAAGATTTTGGATGGAACGTTTGTGACAGCGCTGGGATTTAGAGGCATATTACTTAATTCCATTTCTAAAGAGCTCGCGCTGCCTAATTTATTGGAGCCTAAGAGTCCACCCGAGGCAGACCCCGTCGAAAACCTGCCCGTGTTGAGCAAATCGGGACCGTTCGATGGTAGTGGAGATGTGCCAGGAAATCCTCTCAGCATGTCCCCACTCACAGGAGTACTAGGGCCACTACAAGAACCAGGAGCTTTCGGGGAGGGTGCGGGAAAACGAGAATTGTTATGATCTACTGACGCGGGAGTTCTTGGTCCCCCAGATGGTACGGGAGTTGTGGGAGGAGCGGGTGAAGGCTGTTGTTGTTGGGAGTATCGGGATTTTGAACTCGCCGTTGAACACGGTAGAGACGAGTCTTGGGGTGGTGTGTTGTTCGCAAATGACGATGAAGAAGCGGGAGAACAAGCGGCCCCGTTATTGTTGCTGCTGCTCAGCGTGGTGGTGGTGGAGGCGAGGTTTCCTGCTGTGCTGTCTATCGTACCACCGATTCTGAAATGCGAGAAACGTTGAAGTTTTCACAGAACTTACTATGTTCTCGAGGTTCAAAGTCGTTATTTATCATTCATTTCATCAGAAAAAATTACTAAGCATCTAATGAACACAATGAAAATGAGGCGACATACAATTTAACATAAAGCAAAATTCGCCAAGAATTTAAGAGCACCAATTAAATTCACCTTATCTTCAATGAAAACGTTTCGGAGACCAGCTCCATCATCAATTCAATAATTTGGAGAATACAAGTACAATCAGCAGAGAAGTTCAAATTCACACGAAATAGTGATATTGAATAAACCAATTTACAAAGGCTGAAGTCGTTTTAATACAATTATTGACCAATCACAACACTCTTAGTACAACGAGTTTTAGAAGGATATTTCTCTGTAAGGAGGTTTTCAGCATCTTGCCTAAATATAGGTATAAAAATGTACTACTCACGGAGAAAGTAGCTCGCCGTCTCTACAGCTGCTCGTGTTATTGGGCTGCTTCTGAATGGTGAGCTCCTGTCCTTCAAAGGCATTTAAATATTGTATCTGCTGAGGGGAGGGTACGGGCATAAGGCTAGCTTCTTTACTGCCATCACATGCGGCACTCGGACACATGCCCCCTTGTTGGGGTGTTGGGGGCTGGCAGCTTTGTGGGGAGGGCGGGATGTTGGGGCCAGTCTGTTGAGATGCTTTGCTGCATGCGTGTTGCAGTTTATGTTGAGGTTGTTGCTGGAAACTCTGCATCTGTCTCCCATACATGTCGTTCGATACTGAAAAACAGGATAGAAAAATTCAAGCGACAACTGAAAATGAAGAGAATAAGTTTGCATTATTTTTGATCGTGAAAAACAATACAGGAATATACATATTCAAGGTTAGAAATTGAGATAGACATTTGAAATATCTTATGTCGTGAAATCATCGTAACCCGACCGTGGCAACAAACAATGGACACTCACAAGAATGTTGCTGCTGCATGGCGCAGGTGACAGGCGTGTCTTTGCCCATGGAGTGTGAGCCTGAGGGACTGTTGATGGGTCCGGAGGGCGTCGATGGGTTACTAAGAGTAGGACGAGGCGTGGGCTGGCGAGGAGACGGAGCCGCCGAACACATCGATGGAGAACCGGGAGATCCCATTGGGCCGTTTGGTCTAGGGACGTGATAGGGAGGCGGAGGCCCTTGATTTCTGTTCGAACCCACACGCATTGGGCCTGGAGCACCTGAACCCATCATGCCACAGTTCATCATCGGTCCCATGGGCCCAACACCGCCCATCATGCCATTGTTGCCCATTGGTCCGCCAGAGCCCATGCCGTTGTTGGGGCCCATCATACTATTGGGCACCAAATGACCTGAATTACCCATGGGGCTCATACCCGATGGACACATTCCATTTCCAGGGCCCATGCCATTCATAGGCCCCATAGGTCCCATGTGGCCCATGGATCCCGGGCCCATAGATCCTGGCCCCATACCGTTTGCACACATGGGGCCGCTTGGTCCCATGCCCCCACCCATGTTCATTCCTGGGCCCATTGGGCCACCAGGACCCATTCCGCCCGGTCCCATTCCACCAGGACCCATATGCATCATAGGCCCCATGGACCCATCTGGGCCCATGCAGCCTCCGCCGTTGCCGCTGGGATTTTGGCCACACTTTTTACGCTTGCTTTCGAAAAAATCTGCCTGCAATCTTTGCCACTCCATCTGCGGGGACATGTGGGGACCGTGCGGGCCCATCATCATCGGCTGGCCTCCAGGCATCATCCTCATACCAGGACCCATTATACAGTTAGGCCCAGGGCCCATGCTGCCTTGACCCGGCATCATGTTACCAGGCATACCCATTCCAGGACCCATGCAGGGCCCCATGCCAGGACTGGGACCCATCCCTGGACTCGGCCCCATGCCGGGGCTCATGCCCATAGGACTGTGTCCCATTACTGGCGATGGTCCTCCCATGCAGTGGGAAGGAGGGGCAGGAGAAGCCCCCATGGAGCAGGCGTTTGAGACGATGGTGGTGGGAGTGGTGGCACAAGATGCCGGAGTGTGCGGCGCTGCCACTAAAGACGACGGAGATGACAAGGGGATCCCGCCACTGCAAGATGACGGTAGCCCACCGTTACTTGGGGCGTTCGTAGTGGCGATAGAGTTGCCTTGTAAACTAGTGGCGGTGGAAGGGGGAGTTGGTGGCATTAGAGCAGAAGTTGAAGAGGGAGGTGTGGCACCAGGCATGGATGAAGCAGGCGTTGTCACCGGTGCAGGGGGAGAGCCGTGAGTGGAGAGCGGTGTGCACGACGATGCTGAAGGTAAGCTCGAAGGAGTTGAGCTCGAATTGAGTGGAGCGCCGCAGCCACTCGTCGAGTTATTGAGTGGTGCACCACAACTGCCACTCGATGAGGGAGGTAGTGAAAGGGAAGAGGGCGGAGTGGTCTGAGGAGCATTATTATTGGGACTGCTTCCATCGCCTTGTAACTCTGGTAGCAGCAGCGTCTGCATTCTAGCGAGCTTAGCCATCTGCTCCTCGCGGTGCTGACGTTGCTCAGGTGTCAAAAATTCTTCCTTAGGACCGCCGAAACCTGTAGTCGATCCACCACAAGGACCTGTACGGAGGAGTATTCAGTTAAATACTTGCAATGCATACCCTGTGTTATGAATTATTTGCGTTACGAACTATTTCATTGGCATCCACAATACAAACGCGTTACGGATAATTTCTCATGAACTATTAGCCAATTATTTGAACAGTGGGTCAGGAGTAGTGGCAAGTGGGATGGCAAGCGTAGTGATGACGGAAATTAATTTCAACATGAGAATCACCGCTCTTGTACTCACCAGGTAATCTCATTTGGCCAGGCCCCAAAGAGGCCAAGTTAGGGTTCATGGGACCACCAGGACCCATCGGTCCACCTGGACCCATTGGTCCTCCAGGACCCATCGGGCCACCGGGTCCCATCGGGCCACCGGGTCCCATGGGTCCACCGGGACCCATTGGTCCACCAGGCCCCATTGGTCCACCTGGTCCCATTGGTCCACCAGGGCCCATTGGGCCACCAGAACCCATAGACCCAGGCAACATATTATTTGGACCCATGGGCCCACCACCGCCCATACAAGCAGGTCCCATATTTGAAGGCATCATTGGACCAGGTCCCCTTGAGCCCATCATGCCCCCAGGGCCCATCATGCTTGGTCCTCCACAGCTAGGCCCGCCACCCATCATGTTAGGGTTAGGTCCCATCATGGACCCAGCGGGACTGGTGATGCTGCGGTTAGGAACCATCATGCCGCAAGAGTCAGGAATCTGCAAATGCAATTGAGATTAAGAATAGAAATTGAGAAGCTTTAGAGCAAAAAATTTGATTAAATAAAGAAATAAGCGCACTAAATTTGCTAAGAATGGAAACCAAATTACGCATCAGCTTTTTTTTGTAGGGTGGTGATTTCGAAAATTTTTTCAAAATAATTAATCGTTGATCATTGATATCTCATTCATTGTTATCTGCGACGGCAGAATTAACAGTTGAAAACTTCCAAACCAATAAATTTAATCTCATCATTTCATATGGGAGTAAAATTAGAAGCAAAATACCATATTAGGTTGTCCGGCCATAGGGTTCATACAGTTCATGTCCGGAGGCATGGGCCCGTTATGATGTACATGAGGCATGCTGCCCTGCATGCTGGGACCTTTAATTGGTCCCGGTCCTTTTGGGCCCTTCATGGCCCCACCGAAGTTATTAAACCAATGAGCGTTACTTTGTCTCGCAAATTGGGTCATTTTCAACGGGTGTTTCTGATGGATTAAAAATATATCTTATTAAAGGACAAAAAATGACATGAGGTTGAAACCTTGACGGCAAGTGAAAAGTTCATACATGAAAACGATTAGGAATGAAGTCAATTCAAGAATGATTATTCACGTGAAAAATGTCTCGTAAAAATAATACAGATTACTCCTACGTATACATCTCGTGTATCAAACACTGCTGGTAGAGATTCAATTATTTTTTTTTTGCATTTTGAGTCAAAGGGATATTTTTCCTATTAAACAAATACTTTCAAAGCCAACAGTTACCAAAATTCTTGAATCTTTGATATGTTCGTATATTAAGAAAATAATTCTATCATACTAGTAATATCGCCATTAGAGGCATACATAAATAAATAGGACTATCAGGACTTGTTCGTGAATGTTCCACCTCGAGCAGCAAGAGTACCAACAAGGACGCACCTCTAAGAGTTTCTTGGTGGCAGGTTGTGAGCAATGGTAGCCAATTATGTTGGGGTAGGTGCCCTGGTAGACGCTCTCAGCCGCCTTGTTGGCGAGGCTTGTGCAGAAAACGAATATTTGCGACTGCTGCTGCATGTACTGAGCGTCTCCGCCTGAGATGCTTACTCCTCCACCCTTCCCGGTCAACCCGTCGCCGGGCAACTCGCCTGCTGTGCAAACAAATGCATTATCTCAGTGAATTGCTATAACGTTTATTTGTAAGACAAAATAAATAAAATACTTAAAAATACTTTTTAAAAAAACGTTTTTCTTGTGGACTAAAAAGTAGAAAATAAATTATGGCTCGCCCCTTCAATTAAACTAATTTCGGTCTCTAATTACTAGTTTTTATGATTGTATCTGAAATTGTTAGGCGAAAATAGCCTGCATGCCGAATTTCAGATCTCAAGAGCAATCAGAAGTGGGCTAATTTTCGTTGTCAATGTTAACAACAAACAAACAACCAAACAAACAAACAAACAAACGCGAAGCTAAGCTAAGAAAAACGTGTTAAAAACGTGTTAAAAAATAGATCCACCAATAGAACATTGCGATATGAAATATTTTCAAAATCATTGACGTTTAGAATATCATTTAGCTGAGTTCGAAAAACCAACAAGGTTTTGATTCTTGAATAAGTACATTTTTCATGGCGTTGAATGCACTTGAAAGCAGCCAGCGGCAGAAAAACAGGCAAATTGCAAATGCAAGCCAGGGCATAAGAAGACGACACTGGGCTGGTGACCCAGCCTTGACAGTATCAAGATTTTGAGCAGTTAGAAGCGGGTTCGACTCCAGCTTCTATGACAGTTTTGGTCAAAAATAGGCATGGTGGCTGGGTGGTTGGGAACAGTACGACTTGAGCATTGAGTTGCGCGCTTGAAACCTCAGCAAGCTGCAAGAATTCTGCTAAGTCTCGACTTGGCGAAAGGCCTATTCAACGATGATACTATTATTACAGTGACAGCTGAATAAGAGTGATGAAGAGCAAAGCGCTGAGGCTACGAGATGGGAAGTTACCTTCGTTGCACTGGGGCGGTGTGTGCGTGGGCGTACTGCCTGAGCTGCTGGACGCCAGCATGGACGGCTTGATGTCAGCACCCATGCCTGCTACGTCGCCTCCCGTGCCGTTACTTAGCTCCTGCTTCACGTTCTGTGGAACAGGATAAAAGTGAACATGAGGTAACATCAACAAACATGGATGAACATACAAGTTAATGAAGTGCATTTGAGGGTGCACGTGAAAACAAGTATTATTCACTGAAGAGTAAATGTGTCATAACCGCTGTGCCATTCCCACTAACTGGGAAACTCAAATCAAAACAAAAGAATTTTTCACAGAATTGTGATTGAATAATCATTTATTGATTTAAATACATACAATGGCAACAGACCAGAGTGCAGATTTGAATGAAATTGAATCTTTGTGATAATGTAACATTTTATGCTCTCTGCCAACCTTAGTATCGGGCATGAGGGCATTGAGAGAAGCATTGTTGTTGTTGATGATAGAGTTGTTGTTGGCATGGGAGCCTTTAGACCCGTCGTCTCCGTTGAGCACAGGCATGGAGGAGTCAGGGTCAGGTTTGATGTCGAGGGGTTCAGTTTTGATGGGGTTGCTATTCATGATTGTGGTTGAGCTCGCCGATGCGTTGCCGCTCTTGACGCCGTTACCAGCGTTGTTGTTGTTTTTTCGCCGTCCACCGCCGGTGGTTTTAAGAGGCCCGCCACCGCCAACGGACGCGTCATCTTTGAGCGACGCTGCGCCTCCGCCACTTGCTTTGGTCTGGCCGCGCATCGCACGGCGAACCTGACACCACACCTTATATTCATTACCGAATAAATAAATAAAACTAATCTATTGACACCACACCTTCTATTCATTACCGAATAAATAGAGCTAATCTAATCTTAAATTCGTAATTGAACGGTAAATTTAAATAGAAAAACAGAAAAACAACAACAGAGATGCCCGAGAAAATAGACAAACAATTGTTTGGGAGAAAATGCAAAAAAAACTCTAACATTAGAAAATGTTCGTAAACATTATTTATTCAATAATTATAGCGCAACATTATTCAAACTTAGTACAAAATCATGGAAATCTTTTAACTAAAAGAACTACCTATTAATTCTAAAAGAAATTTTCACTAGTACTAAAAATTATTTTCAGAAAGCACTGATCTACTTGAACGCAGAAAGAAACGTACCTTAAGTTTATAAGCTGCTAGCACCACGATGCTTTTAAATATTGCCGTCTATCACTAAATCGTCTTCTCATCTGAAAAAAAGAGACTGAATTTAGTGGAGGAACCATTCTAAGAAACTTTCTGATGGTTGATACAGATTTTATTCTATCATACTAACTTTATGCCGCCTCAGGTCAGAAAAACCTTCAGGTGTTGTTTCGAATTGTTTTAACTATTCATCCATTCAGACAAAATCATTCTTTCGAACAATTAAAAAAATAGCCATTTTGATTACATAAATAACATAATTTGTATTTTTCAGGAATATAGGTTAAATTCAGAGAAAACAACCATAATTTTAAACACAATGAATACCTAATTAAAAAAGATATCTGTGAAAATCGATGAAACATAAACTGACAATACTGAGATTAATGTACATCAAAGAGCTATAAATCGGCAGAGACGAGATGCATGTTGTAGCCTGCGACGCAGACATAAATCATTCAAAAGATCAAGAAGCTCCGGCAAAATGCCGTTCCACCATCGATCTTCAACGTTACGGCCACATGATATTTAGTATAGCTGCGTCAAATGGCAAATACAGTGAAATGTCACGAAAAGTGATGAGAACATGCGTAAACTTATGTTGTGATTGAGATACGCGTCTCGTTATTTCTTATTACGGTGCAACATGAAAATTTGCGGACGCTCTTGTAAATAATGTTTCAACCATATTACTAAATAAATTATTCAAAAATCGTCACGGTGAAATGCGAAAGAATCGTAGATTAATCATTTATACCGAACGCACCAAAGCTTTACTAGAGAGGGCGCCAAAAGTCAGGTACAAGTGCATTACACAACAGAATCTTGAGGATAGTGCATATCTGAATCCTTCAGTGGAAAGCGACTCAATCTTGCCGAAATTTTGGCTCCGCCAAGCCGTCTCTGAAAGCGCTCAACTCGAGCCAATCTTTGGGGAGGCAATTCCATATGTTCCCAAGAATGCGTTTATAAACCGGCCATAAAATAGACCTGCTCCTCCACCTCTCCTCCCGCTTCGCTCAAGGATCTCACGAGCCTTGTGAGGTTCACAAATCCCGGCACACGACTCCGCAACGCTCGGAAAATCGTCACGAAAATTTGCGCGTGAAAATGCAAGGGAAAATCATTTTCTTCAATATCAATTAGAATAAGAAATGAAAAGAAACAATACAACAGTAGTTTTACGGAAAAAATCGATCATTTTAATATAAAAATAGTGAATTATATTAGATTATAAACACATTGACAATAATTTTCTATTTCAGCCAGATAAAAAAGAGATATAGCAATATTTTCTTCTGCCGCGTTTGCAGCGAAAACATTCAATAGAACGCGATTACTAACAGGAATCGAAACAACGCACAATCGCTTGCAACTGAAATGCGACGCGAAGCAGGCACGCTGCTTACGCGGCTCTGTTTTTGTCGCTAAATCCCGGCAAAGTTTTAATTGTTTCCACGATAGGCATCGAGCGATCAGAGGATCCATGGCAAAAACAAGGTTTGGGCGACGGGGCTGTAGGTAAGATACGAGAGTTCGGCCAAAATAGAATCGGCGCATGAACCAATGCAATAAACTGCACACTAAGCGAAGACTGTAATGTAATGTTAAGTAGCTGTTTTAACGTTCATGGACAGATTCAACGCTTTTGAAGAGGATTGTTTACTTTTTATTCCCGTAGCTGAAAAGCAGTTATAAATACAGTACCTATATAAATATAAATGTTATCGAAATTATGTAATTGTAGGTATTTATTTATTATATGTAATGTAGTTGAACAGGAACACCTTCAAATATTTGCGAGGATGAGCAATCTGAGACTTCGAAGGAGACAAATAAACAAGCTGAGACAACCATGGGTAATAGAAGTATAGAAACAAAACATGCATATGTAACACACAGTCAATAACAATGGAATATATAAGTGAAGTCATGAACTAGATAGTATTATCAAGTAAACTAAATAATAAAAGAATAAGACAGCAGGAGCTGGCGCAAGAGGAGGCTATCGTGAGCGGCTCTGGGATCGAGGGCAAGTTTGCACATTAGTTGACTCAAGTTAAGTCGTAATTTGGGAGCGAGCCTGTCCTCTTCGACCATCTTTACCCCCGACCACGGGGAGGAAGGAGGGGGGTGAGGGGCGCTAAGATACGAGAGGAAACAGAAAAAAGTTGCTGTACATGCAAGGTAAGAATTATCCTATTCGTAAAAGGAACGAGGAGTTTTATAGGAAATGTTCGCTAAGAATAAACATATGCTAAAATAAAAAAAAATATTACAATTAGAAAAGGAAGTAAAGGAGAGGACATGAGAAGGTAACAGCCTGATTGAAGACAAGAGAATCTATGAATAAATGCTATAAATAAAATTTCAATAGCAGCTTTTTCAATCAGATACATATTCATTCTCCAAACCCTCAATCGCCAAAAAAGATTCAGTTGTTATCAACTTATACCCCGCTGCGTATTTAAAGCTACAGTTAACATTTTATCGTGGAATAATTCTAAATAATGAAGTAATTACAACGCCACGTGATTGGCGTGACTTAAAAGATAGATACACTGAGCAGACATCTTGGCAATGGGGGCTTTTTAGTGAGTGATTTCGCTTATAACAAAACAAGCTGAATATCCTGAGGCCGTATTAACACGACATCATCGGTCAATATAATGTCATAATTTGTGATCATAGTCGCGATTTTTGATAGCAAATATCGGGTTATGAGGATATCTCAGTGATAATATGATTACAATGTCTGACACATCACACAAATAGGTTGAGTACAATGCACGACGTTACAACAGTATTGTGAGAGCAGCACCGGACACACAACAGTGTCAGTAGTATAAAGGCTGACGTCATGCTAGTAGCGTGAAAAAATAACCGTGCATTACAGCAGTAGCATTAGAATAATGCATAACATCACAACAATAGCGTTGGAATAAGACAGGACCTGACATGAGTATTCCAGTACATGAGCGCTATACAAAGTCATCAGCGTGAAACTACAGCACAACGTTCATACGTGTTAAGGTCTGGATCTGCACGAGCCCTTACAGGTCTCGCGGTTTCAGACTTGCGTTTAGACTTGCGCTGCTTATCACGAACATCGGTGATTAGCATGGTAATTTATGGTAAGCTTCAAAAGCTTAATATATTGTCCCAACAAGCGACCCTCCGTACTCATGCAGGCTTGCGGCTTTTAATGAGATGGCCTAACGACCAACATTGAATAGAGTTCACAAAAAGAGGTCACCTTAAGATGATATTTACGGGGTTAACTTTGAAGGCCACACAGCAATATTAGAAATGAAAAATGAGGCTACGTAAAAACCATTAATGAGATTAATATATATATTGTTCTAACTTCGAATCAGGGCATTTTTAATATGAAACTTTAGGATTTAGTAAAACAGGCTAACTATAATAGTAAAATAAATAGAGCATTAATACCAATACCGTTTACTCAGTTATTTTGTAATCAATGGAAGCTGCGGAGATGCATTGACAAGGACCTGCAGAAGTAGATTTTTTTTTCGCTATATTTACCTGCATTGAATAGCTCAACAATAGCTATTTTTTCATTAATAATTTCGGCTGTTGTTAAATTTACATAATTTACATTTGGGAAAGTGGTAATTGTTAAAATTTCAATAAAAGGTTTCAGAAGTTTCTATTAGCAAACGTGATTGTTCCTTGCATAACTTGATATTTTGAACAAATATATATACATGTAATTATACCAAGACCTAAGTCTGTGCTTATGCCGAATATTTATTAATATTGTGGTATTTATCATAATAGAGTTCGCAAGAACTAAATAGTAATGCATAAGCAGCCGATCATGTGATGGCGAGGCAGTCCGGGAGCACGAGGCGATACAAGCTTGTCTCACTGTAACTCACTAGCTGGCAGTAGAGTCCGATTGCGGCCTGCGACTCGGGCGCCGCTATGACAACTTTTTCAGAATTGAGCCTAAATTCGTCCACATTGAACCATTCAGCGGATTTGACAAGATAGCGATGAAATTGAAGATGAATGAATTTAAAATGTAAAAATCTAAAACGAGGAACTGAATATCAGGCTGAAATTGAGCAAACGATTGTATAAAAATTTAAAGGAAGAAATTTCACATTGTGATGCAAAGTATATATATATATATAGTCAGATGGGGTAAGACAGGACCGAAATCACTAACAGGCATGTAGCATCTATACCATGAATAACTAAAAAATCCTAAACTTATCACAAGGCGTGGTTATGCAATGGGCTTAAAAACTACAACTCAGACTTATTGCATACAACACAGTTTTCTGTACAGATTAAAAAAAGTGAGCTGGTCCCATCTTACCCCATTGGGGTAAGATGGGACCAGGCTGGGGTAAGAAAGGACCAACAGGTAATTCTTATGTTACAAGGTTTTTTAGTAAAAATATTAATCTGATATTCAATATTGTCCATCTAGAAACACATTATTTGATTAAACAACCATTTGTTATTGTTTTGTGTTGCAGGAAGTCAACTCTAATATCAGTCACATTGGAGTTTTTGCCACGAGAAAACTTCATTAAGCATAGAAATAGAAGGTTGGCTTTGATTCATTGTAGAGCACTGCCAAATGCTGCATGTATATTCCATTAGTGTCATAGTCTGAAAATTTATAAAATTGGTAATAAAACCAATGGATAGTAACTTAAGAGTCGGACATCATGTGTTTTCTTGCTTCTGCCGCGTTTGAAGAGTTCTTTCTGCGTTTCAATTCGAGTTTTGTGGCCAGATGTAGCGAGGTCCCGAAACTTCCAAGCAGGTATTCACCAAGGTAAATTTTCGTGCGACATAATAACCCTAGACACATGACAGTGCAGGGTAGCAAAAATATTAGCTTCAAAATATTAAAATTATCCTACCGATCGAAATGTATGTTGCGACCTATGCATGACTACTGAATACCTCGGATGATGGGAAGCCTACACATGCAAAGGTATCCCGGACTGAACTATTCTCACCTCCTCCAGCGCACACACAAACGGAAGAAGTGCATTTG